CCCATGAGATGGAGATTAGGGCCAACTTTTCTTCTGTTAGATGCAGAGTCTCTGGTTTGATTCCTAGCTCCTTGATCCATTTTGAGTTAACTTTTGTGCATGGTGAGAGAAAGGGATTCAATTTCATTTTGTTGCATATGGATTTCCAGTTTTCCCAGCACCATTTGTTGAAGATGCTATCCTTTCTCCATTGCATGCTTTTAGCACCTTTATCTATATAAGGTAGTTGGAATTTTGAGGGTTGGCCTCTGTGTCCTCTATTCTATACCATTGGTCTACCCACCTTTTTTGGTACCAGTACCATGCTGTTTTTGTTACTAATGCTCTGTAGTATAGTTTAAAATCTGGTATCACTATGCCACCTGTTTCACTCTTCCTGCTTAGAATTGCTTTAGCTATTCTGAGTCTTTTATTTCTCCATGTGAATTTCATGATTGCTTTTTCTATTTCTACAAGGAATGCCGTTGGGATTTTGATTGGCATTGCATTAAACCTATAGAGTACTTTTGGTAATATGGCCATTTTAATGATATTAATTCTGCCTATCCATGAAAAAGGTATATCTTTCCGTCTTCTAAGGTCTTCTTCTATTTCTCTCTTTAGGGTTCTGTAGTTTTTGTTGTAAAGGTATTTCACCTCTTTTGTTAGGTTGATTCCCAAGTATTTTATTTTTTTTGTGATATTCTGAATGGGGTGGTTGTCCTGATTTACCTTTCAGAGGGTTTGTCACTGATATACAGGAATGCCTTAGACTTATGAGTGTTGATTTTATATCCTGCCACTTTGCTGAATTCATTTACTAGTTCTAGAAGTTTTTTGGTAGAACCTTTTGGGTCCGTTAGGTATAGGATCTTGTCATCCGCAAATAGTGCTAATTTCAGTTCTTCTTTTCCTATTTTTATGCTTTTAATTTCTATCGTCTGTTTTATTGCTCTGGCCAGTGTTTCGGGAACTATGTTGAATAGGAGTGGTGAGAGAAGGCATCCCTCCCTGTCTTGTTCCAGATTTTAGAGGGAATGCCTTCAGTTTTTCTCCGTTTAGAATGATGCTAGCCTGAGGCTTAGCATGTGATCTGTCCAGATTGAGTCAAGAGGATATACACAACTTAAACAGACCAATATCAATTGAGGAAATAGAAGAAGCCATCAAAAGACTACCAACYAAGAAAAGCCCAGGACYGGATGGGTATACAGCAGAGTTTTACAAAACCTTTAAAGAAGAACTAATATCAATACTTTTTAAGCTTTTTCACGAAATAGAAAAAGAGGGAGTACTTCCAAATTCATCACCCTGATTCCTAAACCAGATAAAGACACTTGAAAGAAAGAAAACTATAGACCAATATCTCTAATGAACATAGATGCAAAAATCCTCAATAAAATTCTGGTAAAGCGGATACAAAAACATATTAAAAAAATCGTGCACCATGATCAAATAGGATTCATCCCTGGGATGCAAGGCTGGTTCAATATAAGGAAATCAATAAATGTAATCCACCACATCAATAGTACTGATATATTAAGAGAACATAGTACTCCTTTTTATACTCCACATATAGTAAAGCACAGAACTCTTTATTTCACAAAGTTAAATTAACTGCTGCTTTTTAACTTTAATGTTTTGTTGCTCTTGGAATTGCACGTGGACTATGTGGTTTAATTTAGAGATCCTATCTTTTCAAATATTTTCCCCTTTAACTCTTGACTTTTTCTGAATTCTAATTAGGTATATGCTTGGTTTCTGCATTTCACTTTACACCAGTCCTAATCTCTTAGATATTTTCTATTTATTCTTCTGGGTTAAATTATGAGTTATTTCTTCAAAAGCTTTTTACAGTTAAATATTTCTCTTTATATTTGTGTTTGGTCTATAAAGGAGTCAGGGATTTACAAAGGTAGGTACTTCATAAATATTTGTTAAGTGAATTTTTCCATAGTTTTCTGATATTTATTCAGGGTCCTCAGCAGGTTCAAAGAACGTTGTTTCAGTGTGTACATAAATAAAGGAATGATTGAATGGGTGAAGTTTCATACTGGAGTACAATAAATAAAATTTCTGTGCTTATTTATTTGGAGTTTGTTTTTATCTCTAAGGAATTATATATTTCTTAAAATGTTGATTATATCTGCATAAAAATTATTTTATCTATRTAAAATTACGCTGCACTAGTCAGTACATTTGGCCTTGTCATTAGGAATTATAAAATGATAGGAAAAAAGATGCTATGATGAAGACATGGACTTTGCTTGGATAGAACTAAACATTAAGAAGTATTGTGTGGCATTTGAGAATTATATTACTTAAACAGGAATATGGCACAAACTTTAATGTCTGAGCCTCTCATTTGTTGTAAAAATGTTTATATAAATAAATAATATTTATTTGATGGGAAATAGAGATCATGTTCATTCTTTCTACAGTGGGAAATAATTGAGAACATTATCTCTCTTTTGGTATAGTGTACTTTCTGCAATGTTCTCAAGTTTTGTTTGAAGTGTTAAATATTTTTATGAAATTTTATTAGAATATACATTTTTCTAATTCTGTTTTGCTTGTGGAATAACAACATACATTCATAGGCCAAGCCCTTTTGGATTTTATACTTTCATGTGTTATCCTGATCAAATTTGCTTTTTTCTTGTTTTTTAATTTTCTTTTATGAAGTGATTCTTAGTAATGTCTTGTATACTACATTAAATTTTCTCAGATTCATGCAAGTATCTGTTTGAATCCTGAGTTTCTCTTTTACTACTTTCTCCTTTCTTCCTTGTGTTTATTACTATATGAATTTCCCTTCAGGTATATAAAGGGAACAAAAGACAGTGACCTGCAGAGGAATATTGACACAATCGCATGACATAATGTTTAGAACAGTGGCTGTTACATAGTAAAAGATCAATTAAGCATGAATGTTAATTATATTTTTAATTATTATCAGTTGAAAAATTGGTCTTTGAAGAGGCAACTATAATAAAAGAGAATTAGAAGTGAAATTTTTCTCTTTATCTCAGCAAGCTGTAATTGCAGCCTTTATCTGAGACTTTGACTTCCAAGATACTGTGGAACTGTAACTTGTAGCAACATTGCCAGAGGACAGACAGTTTGGATACTCAAGACTTTCTAATTCTGTTGTGTAATGCTGGTTCATGGAACATTGTTTTTCTGTTATTGTGGAGGTAATTTGGAGGATCTTCTGCTTTATCTAAAGCTGGTACTAATAGGAAAAGTTATATCCAGAAAAAAATAAATGCCAGTTGTGTGCTCCCTTGCTTTTATAACCTCAAGATCTGTTAAAAGGGCCTAGACATTGAAATCATCCATGCATTTTTGTGTATGCAATCTTTTCTATATTATGTATCTAGCATTGYGATTTTTTTTTTGACACCAATGATATTGAACCCAGGGATGCTTAATCACTGAGCAACATACCTAGCCCATTTTATTTTTTATTTTAAAATGATCTCACTAAGTTGTTTAAGGACTTGCTAAATTGCCAACACTGGCTTTGAACTTGTTATTCTCTTGCCTCAGCCTCCCAGGCTGCTGGGATTAGAGGCATGCATCAATGTGCCCAGCTAGTGTTGTGATTTATGACATTGAGTAATTTCTTTTATTTATGTGCTAATGAATAAAACCTTATTAGTTATTTGAAATCAAGTTTTTATTTATAAATATAGGTATAAATTATGTGTACCTAAATATGAATAGGGAAAGATATGAAAGAAAGGACTTTTCCCATCATAATCCCCCCCCCCACACACACACACACACACTTGGTTCTATAAGATTGCTGAAGTCCTGGATAGTTAGGTAATCAGAGTTACAACTAGATGTGAATAGTACCTTGTGTTTTTTTTCTTGTCTGTTTCTCTAAACATCAAGAATCATAGATAATAAAATTTTATTATTATGAAATTCTCCTTTTAAAAGTCTTGTATTTATTATATAATTCCACTTGGAAAATTTTATTTCTTTTTCTTTGCCTTGGCCTTTTCTCACTTTATTTATAAATACACAAAACCTCTAATGCCACCCTGCATTTTTGGGACCTGAATTTTGAAGACCCCACTTAAAGTATTTTGGTTGGTGTGACTGTAATTTGTTTAATACTTAATAAATATATGTATTAATAAGACTATGATTAACATTTGAAAATGATCGTATTTTTTTAAAAAATAATTATTGCAAAAATTAAGATTAAATTTTATTATCTTGTAGTTGGTCACAGTATTGAAAAAGAAAATATGCCAGAAGGTCCTACTCAGAAAGGTCTTCGTAAAGCCAGGGAACAAAACAAATGTAAAACAAAGATGAAAGACAATGCAAAGGTATGATATTTATTTATGTTTATACATTAACTTATACTTAATTCTCACATATTTAGATCCATGCACTCATATAGCATCATTTTTTTAACTAGAAAAGAAACTTAGTGGTTATATATAATAATCCTCTGAGTTTATGGAGGGAAAATTGAAGTCCACAATTATTACTAGTAACTAGTTAATTTGGAGACACATGCTTTATTAGTGTTTAAGACACCTCAAAGCATCTCTGTGCCACACTCAATTTTCTGCTTAAAATTAATCCTATATAAAAGAAATAACTCCCAAAACATCTCTTATAGTTTCTCTTTTTTTATAGTAGAATTTCTAACTTTTCTCAGTTTTCTTTTCCTTTAGAATAACATGCAACAGAATCATGCCTCATTTAAGAATTTGTATGTTTCTGGAGTATTTTTGCTTTGCAATTAGACCAATAAGTTAAATCTTGCATAATAATGAAATTAAAATTATCTGGTCAATGAAATGAAATTTAAGAAGAAAGAAAATTACATAAGAAGTACAAGGGGTTTAGTTTCTTGTTATGAAAATTCTAGCTGAGATAATGAATTTTCTTATAAAGATGATTGTTGCCAGAGAGTTCTACATCTGGCATTTGTTGTAAAATGGAAATATTTATAATTCTAATGTTAGTAGTAGTAATTCAAGAAGAGATTTTTATAAACTCAAGTTATAGCATTTACTTAGATAATATCAATAACTTTCACTTGAAGGTTTACACTAGAATCAATTATTGTATAAATATTCAAATAAATAAACAAACAGTTATAGGTTATACTAAGTTCTTGACAAAATAATCTTTGGATGATATTCAAATTACTGTTTTACTCTATCTATCTTCACTATTAATTCATGGATTGTGGTATTAGAGGCAAATAAGAGTTAAGAATTTTTGATGATGTTGTGATTGTCATCAAGAATGTTTCATCTTCTCTTGGTATAAGTATTCTTTCAGGTAGTGCATCATGCTTAGAAATGATGTGTTGATTTATTCATTAACAGCTTATGGCTTATAAAACCATATTAGTAAACGCAAGGTTGATTTTTTTTTCAAGGTTGATTTTTTAATGTGATGAAAACTATGATAATATAGTAGGCACATTATATATTTATGCATAGTATTTCCTTTTTTGTTATTGAATTAAAATATTTAATGTAATACCTACAATTCAATAAAAGAAAATGAGGCCTTAATTAAGAGCCTAGGTATAGGATAAAGTGAAACCTTCTCATCCTCACTGAATAATCATTTTTATTAATATTTTTCTTATAATTTTCTTGCAGCTGTTATTATAATGTACCTGAGTTCAGTTTCCAGTTTATGTTTTATTCACTTTAGATGCTATTTATTGACTACCTTGTGGAAATAAAGAGACAGGTCACTTTACTGATATATATATATAGTACCATCATAATTCTATTTTCTGTGCTTTATCTGTAAATTAGTAGTATAAATTAATTGCACAAAACAACATTTAAATGCATTTTCTTTAAGTAAATATAATTTACTGTAGAATTAACTATCATGATTAAAACCACAGAGAAGGAAATGGAATATCCAAATTACATGAGCACAGAAACTGCTTTTTTAAATGTAGCCACTTCCCTAGCTTACATTCAGTGGTCCTTGTTACTTATTTCTCACTTTGTCCTCTCTCATTATTTCTTTTCTTATAGTATAACTTCTCACTTTTCTTAGTCTTTCAAAGAAATAACACTGAAAGTCCCTTTTCTGATGAACACTGTCAGCCTCTTCATACTCCCATACTGGCTCCTTTAAGGAATTTTTTTCCTTTAGTAGTACTTCCTGGTGGGTCACCTCTGTTTATTCCCACTAGTGATGTATCTTCCTATATATATATATTTTTCCTTACTTGTCATTTGTTCCTGTCAGGCCACCCTTTGTGATATATTAAAATGAACTTCTGACCAATATTTCTCCTGCTATTGTATTCTAGTATCTGCATTTATGGTTAGAAGGGAAGTAGTTTTCCATTTGAGTAAGCTTTTTCCCTTGATGTCATAGAATGCAAATTAGGCACTGATCGATACTGTGCTTTCCAGATACAAAGAACAAACATCAGTGCGATTTCTTATTAGAGGCTTACACTGGGTTTTGGACTATGGCTCTCATCCCCAAGCCTTGGAGGAATATCACTCATATGAGAGATTTCTCTTACACTCACCTCATAAGCAAAGACATCCACAGACTAAGGTGGAAGGATGGCAAGGAAACATCACTCTCATGGATCCCTTAAGCAAGAGAGGGGTTTGTATCCTTGTATCAGATAAAGTGGACTTCAAGCCAAAGTGAATCAGAAGGGACAAAGTAGTACATTTCATACTGCTTAAGGGAATTATACAACAATAAGCCATAACAATTGTAAATATTGATGCCCTAAACAATGGGACATCTACATATATCAAAGAGACCCTACTCAATTTCAACAGATAGACCACAACATAATAATACTGAATGACTTTAACATTCCTCTCTTACTATGAATAGATTGTCCAAACAAAAACTAAACAAACTATAGAACTAAATAATACAATTGATAATTTATAATTAACAGACATACATAGAATATTTCATCCATCAGTGATTGAATACCCTTTCTTCTCAGCAGCACTTGGATCTTTCTCTAAAATAGACCATATTTTATGCCACAAAACAGCTCTTAGGAAATATGAAAAAAATAGTGATACCACCCTGCATTCTATCAGATCATAATAGAACGAAATTAGAAATCAACGATAAAATAAAAAATAGAAGCTACTTTAACACCTGGAGACTAAATAATATGCTATTGAATGACAAATAGATACCAGAGGAAGTCAAGGATGAAATAAAAAAAATACTTAGAGGTAAATGAGAATAGTGATACAACATATAAAAATCTCTGGGACACTATGAATGCAGTGCTAAGAGGAAAGTTCATTGMACTGTTTGTTCACTCAAAGAATAGAAAGATAATGAATAAATGACCTAATATTAAATCTCAAAGTCCTAGAAAAAGAAGAGCAAATCAATACCACCAGCAGAAGACAGGAAATAATTAAAATCAGAGGTGAAATTGACACAAAAGAAACAACTCAGGGCTAGGGATGTGGCTCAAGCAGTAACACACTTGCCTGGCATGCCCAGGGCGCTGGGTTCGATCTTCAGCACCACATAAAATAAAATAAAGATGTTGTGTCCACTGAAAACTGAAAAATAAATATTAAAAAAATCTCTCTCTGTCTCTCTCTCTCTCTCTCTCTTTCTCTTTTTTTAAAAAAAGAAACAACTGAAAAAATTGACAAAATAAAGAGTTGGTTCTTTGAGAAAATAAAGTTGATAAACCCTTAGCCATGCTAATGAAGAGAGAGAGAAAAAACTAATTACTAAAATTAGTGACAAAAAGGAAATAACATGACAGACACAATTGAAATGCAGAAGATAATCAGAAACTATTTTGAAAATTTGTACTTCAATAAAATGGAAAATTTTGAAGCCATCCACAGATTTCTAGAAACATATGACCTACCTAAACTGAATCAGGAGAACATGCACAATTTAATCAGATCAATTTCAAACAATTAAATAGAATACACCATCAAAAACTACTAATTAAGAAAAGTCCAGGAGCTGGTGAATTCTTAGCTGAATTCTACAAGACCTTCAAAGAAGAATTAATACCAATACATCTTAAGTTATTCCACAAATAGAAAAAGAGAGAACCCTTGCAAACTCATTCTGTGAAACTAGTATCACTCTGATGCCCCAAACAAAGACACATCAAGAAAACATAACTAAAGAGCAATATTCCTTATGAACATAGATGCAAAAATATTTAATATAATACTGGCTAATTGCATGAAAAAACATATTAAAAAGTTAGTGCACCATGATCAAGTTGGGTTCTTCCCAGGGATGCAAAATTGGGTTAATATATACAAATAAATACACTTAATTCATCACATCAGTAGACTTAAAGACAAGAATCATATGATTATCTCAATAGATACATTAAAAAGTACTTGGCAAAATACAGTGCCTCTTCATGTTCAAAACACTAGAAAAACTAGAGATAATAGTAACATACCTTAACATTGTAACCACAGCTATATATGTAAACCCAAAGCCAACATCATTCTAAATGGAAAAAAAAGTGAAAGCATTCCCTCTAAGAACTGGAATTAGATAAGGATGCCCTCTTTCATCACTTTTATACAAAATTGTCCTTGAAACTCTAGCCAGAACAATTAGACAGAAGAAGAAAATTAAACRGATATGAATAGGAAAATAAGAACTCAAAACTTTATCACTATTTACCAATGATATCATTCTATTATATTTATAAGATTCAAACAATTCCACCACAAAACTTCTAGAACAAATAAATGAATTTGACAAAGTAGCAGGATATAAAAATTAATACCCATAAAACAAATGTGTTCCTGTACATCAGTGATGAATCCACTGAAAGAGAAATTAGAAAATTAAAAATATATATATTTGGGAGTCCATCTAACAAAAGAGGCAAAAGACCTCTACAATAAAAACTACAGAACACTAAAGAATGAAATAGAAAAAGACCTTTGAAGATGGAAAGATCTCCTATGCTCTTGGATAGGCAGAATTAACATTGTCAAAAAGCCATGCTACCACAAACTTTATACAGATTTAATGCCATCCCTAGTAAAATCCCAATGACATTCTTCATAGAAAAAGCAACCATGAAATTTATTTGAAAAAATAAGACACAGAGAATAGCCAAAGTAATCCTTAGTGAGAAAAGTGAAGGTGGCATCACTATACCAGGTCTTATACTACAGAGCCATAGTAACACAACACACATAGACCAATGGTACAGAATAGAAGACAGAGAGACAAACCCACATAAATACAGTTATCTTATACTTGACAAAGGTGCCAAAAACATATATTGGAGAAAAGATAGCCTCTTCAACAAATGGTATCGTGAAAACTGGGAATCCAT